AATCCTTCTTCGACGAACGTAACCGTGTCGTTTATACGTACAGTCTCTGGGAATTCACCGTATGTTTTTAAATTCCTTGCTTCGTCCGGAGTGTACTTTAATATGACATCGGCTTTTGCATCTTGGTAATCTCTCAAACCTATTAATATGATGTCTCCTTGATTGATCCATACCTTCTTTCTCAGCTTACCACGTATGTGGCACAGACGTTTCGTACCATCGAAACACATGGCTTCCAAACGTCCGTTACCCAACATTTTAGTGACTTGGGCATATTCTTGACCATCCTCTTTGAAAACCAATTCTCTTTTTTCCGTCTCGTTTTCGTTCTTTCCTCTACGCCTATTTTTACCTCCTTTTCCTTTATTTTTCGGCATTGCTCGTTATTTACTTAAGAGCAATTATTTCACTAAATAAATTTTGAAACAAAATACAAATTTCAATAAAAGAACTTATTGTGCCACCTCAATAGTTCTCACTGACTAAAAAAAAAAAAATTTTGTCCGAATAAGAAAATTCCGACAAAACCTCCGTGCTCCAAGACGAATGTCACTAAAAAAAAGACACTAAATCGATAAACTAGGGATTTTCGTTCTCTATGATTGCTCAACTCCTTCGTGTTCCACAACATCGCGTATGTGAAGCAATCATTAAATTCATTAAATAAACTCTAAAATTCGCGAAATAAATGTTTAGTCAAATGTTCTTAACGCGTTCACATATTTTTTCATCGTATTTCTGTACAGTTAACACTTTTTTAACAGCTGTTATATCAATAACAAGTGGATAAAAACACAAACACGCGGGGTGAGTGGATCACAAAGTATTGCCGTATGACATTTGTTTTTTTCAATATTTCTCGTCGATTACATCAGTCCACAGTTGTGAGCTATTAATTTCTTTAAAAAAACTTGAGCCAATGCTAAAAATTAATAAATAACCGCATAGCATTGTTTTGTGTTTTGAATACTACGCATTTTGTCCGTGCATAGCTACTTAGAATTCAATGGATTGGCGCGTTCAGGGGCGGATTGTTCATTCACCACACAATTTAATTGACTTCTTTTTTTGTTTATTAAAATAATTTCATCAACAACCACGTTTCAATTTAAACACTCTCTATCCGAATTTTTTTTTTTTTTTAAACACGAATAAATGTTACGATAATAATTATTTACTATGTTTTTTTAAAAAAAAAAAACTAAATTAAAATTTTCAATGATAAAATTACACCAACAAGCGTAATGTTTTTTTACACTAAACAACTTTTTCCCCGCCATTTCGAATCTCGAAAAAATTCAAAAAACCAAAGAACAACTTTATTTTTGAAATTTTCTCAATTAAAAAAATAATATTTCTTGTTTTGATAGATGGATTCAGAGTTATCGGACGTGGAAGAATTAACATTGTGCAACTTTTGCAAACAAAAATTTAACAACTCTGACCTCTGCCCAAAAATATTACAGTGCAAACATTACTTTTGTTTAAAATGCATTGAAACGACAATGTTAAAAGGAAGGGACTTGTTTTGTGTTAACTGTTGGAAACACACAGAAGTTAATGATGGTGGTGCAGCAGATTTACCCACTCACAATCCCATTCTCTCATTGACAAGTCACTTATCGTTATTAAACAGCGAAAAAAATTTAGAAAACAAAGAGCTTAAGGTAATTTTCCATATAGAAATTTCAATTATTTTTTTATCCGAGAAAAAAAAGAAAAAGATTTCAGTGACGAAATATAATATTGTGTTTTTGTACAGGCAATTAACATATGCCATGCACATGCCATGCCATTTAGTATGTGGTGCCACACTTGCCATAAATCACTTTGTCGAATGTGTTTGATGAGATCTGAGCATGCTGGACACCAAATAAAAACGGAAAATGAAGCCAAAGACCTTCTGGTGAATGATGTAGGCAAAAAAAATTATCATACTGCTGTCGTTGAAATGATATCAACATTATTATTAATAACAATAATACTAATTCTTTTTGAACCTAAATTAAAAAATTATTTTTCCAGGTGCAAGCAGAATTATCATCAATCAATAAAATTCTTTTGGACATTCAACGATTAGCAATATACCAAAGAGAATTTCTGCTAAAAGTTTTGGAAGCATGCATTACGCTGAAAACGTGCCTAGAATCAGATCTACAAATGAACGTCACGCCGGAATTGAACGAAGCAAAAGAAATAATTATGAGAGCGAAAGCAGGTTTGCTACAGTTCAACACGCCCTTGGACGCGCAAAACATATTTACAAATCTCATAGCTGAAAAACAACGACTAGAAACGAAATATCACGAAATGTTGTTGCAGTGTAAATTGGACGACCTCATCGGGAGTTCCGGAGTTGTTTTCGATTTTACACTTTTGACACAAGCTCTTGGAAGTTTGCAAAACACGGATTTTATTTTTCCACGCTCCAGTCCGGGAACGCAAAACCCCATTTTATTTCTAACAAACTACTGCATGTCTCAGTTGTATTCCCGATATGTAATTTCGAAAAGTCAAAATCAACTTGATTTGCTCCAATCGAAAATAAATCAAAATAACGATTGCATTCTAAATAAATTTGATTTTTTGAACGATAATATAAAAACGGACGTTATTTTACAAAACGGAAGCTACCTCGGTGGTAAAACGAACGATTATATTCCCGCCAAATTGAATTCGTCGGAATCGAAATTAATTAAATCAAAATACGAACACTCTCCCCCGATCTCAATTATACGAAATCCGAATAGCTCGTACCCGTTGTATTTTTTTAAAATCAATTTAAATTCCAATTATTTCGGACGGATAGTTATAGAAACGCGACCGGATTTGGCGCCGAAAATGTCGAAAAATTTCGCCGCTCTCTGCACGGGCGAAACGGGTGTCTCGTACAAAAATTGCACCATTTTCCAATGTTGGGACGGAGAATCCATAATAACGGGAGACTACGAAACGAATAACGGTCGAGGGGGTAAATCCATTTACGAAGAAGGTTATTTTATGCCGGACGAAACGAAAATACCCTCCGTGAGAGGTGCCGTGGGAATGAGACGAACGCAAAAAAGACACGACAATCTAGGCATGGTCGGATCCCAATTTCGAGTCATATTACAAGAAATGCCCGGGTTTTCGGCCATTTTCGGACACGTCGTCGAAGGGATTGACGTTATCGAAAAAATCGCGAGTTTCGGAGATCAAACCGGTAAACCCACCAAAACAATAACGATAACAAATTGCGGAAAACTTTAATTATTATCATTATTATCATTATCATTATTATTATTACTATTTTTTTTTTTAAACATTTCATAAGAAGAAAAAACGAACGTAAATACCGACTACACATAAGTTAAAGTTAAAAACAGTATAAGATACCTAGTTCCTATTTTTTTTTTTTTTTTTTTTTTTTATATTAAAAGCAGAAAGTTTTTTTTTTTTAAGAAAAAAAAAGAAAGAAAAAAACCCAACGTATTTCCCCCCCCCCTATTTCAATGATAAATTTTCAAAGAGCAGAAGAAGAAAATTAATTCTCTTTGAAAATCATCCGTTTAAAAAAAAAAAAAAAAAAAAAAAGAAAATTTAGTTTTTTTTTTCTTTTTTCTTTTTTTTTTTTTTTCTTCTTATCCACACACCGTACAAATTATTTTTAAAAAAGTGCTTTAAAATTAATCATGTGACCCACATTAAAAACAATAATAATAATAATAATAATAATAATAGTAAATAAATAAAAAAAAAACCGCAAAAAAATGGCGGCCGAAACAAAATTTAAAAAAATAATCGATTTTCATTGTATAGTATGTTTAACGTAAATTATAAAAAATTCGGCATATATATATATATATATATATATTTTTTTTTTAATTGTTAAATAATTTAATTGATTGAAAATCGTTTCGATCAATTTTCATTTTCTTTTTTTATTTTCCTTTTTTTTTTTAATAATAATAATAATAATAATAAAAAAGGAAAATTTCTTATTATTATTATTATTATTATTATTATTATTATTATTATTATTATTATTATTATTATTATTATTTTAAAAATTAAATTGTAATGTGGTAAATTTAGTTCGAGAAATTTATTATTATTATTATTATTATTGATTAAGTTATTTTTTTTTTTTTTTTTATATATATAATTATTCACGGCATTAATTCAAAATGAATATTGCCCCATGATTATTAATTAAAACACACACAACAATTTGTGTGTGAGACTTTGTTTTTCTTTTCTTTTCTTTTTGTAAATGTTAAATTTTTTTACTTTTCAAAAAAAAAAAAAAAATATGGAATTTAAACATCGTGTGATGTGTTTAAAAAAAAAAAAAAAAAAAAAAATTAATCCAACGCGGAAAAAAACACACGATGTACGTATTATTATTATTATTATTATTATTATTTTTAAATATCGATTATGTATTTAAGAAACATAAATTTATCTTTTAAAAAAAAAAAAAAATTATTATTATTATCATTATTATTATTATTATCTGTAAAAGTAATTTCCAGAGAATTTTTTTTTTTTTTTTATT